GCTGGAGTCACACGGTCCTTGTGGCCGGCTCTCCTAGTGCCCACAGGCACTCCGTGGTCTTCCTTGTACACTCGCACACTCAGCAACCCACCCTCTGTACCTGCCTTCCATTTCTGAATGTTTCAGAAACGTGCAGACATTGGACAAAGACATACAAATGCAGCCAGTGGTACATTGCCTTATGCACCTCGCTCCTTTTCACTTGGTGTGTTCTGTCTGAAGTCTGCCCAGTACGCAGCACATGTGGGCACATCAGTCCTTGTGTCTGCACAGCACTGCATGGTCCGGGCAGCCACAGCTGCCCAGTCTCTTCATCATGTGATGGGCAGCTGTGAGTGCGTGGGCTCACTCATTTCTCTGGGTGGGGACCCAGCAGGAGAACAGCTGGGCCTCATGGCAAGTTTCTGTTCACCTTTTAACAAGCCACTGGGTCGCCTTCCAGGGTGGCCAAGCCATCCTGGGTTGCTACCAGCGTGTTTCAGGGCTCAGCCTCCACACCCCAGAGGGACCCTACACAGTGAAGGCCGACCAGGCCTCGCTGCCCGGCTGCCTCCCTTAGCCAGGGTGTCCTTGCTTGTCCCTGCACAAAAGGAATTTGCTGAGCTGAGGGAGCGTGCCAGGTGGCCCAGCAAGGCTAGAATTCCTGCACTCAAAAAGTCATTTGTTTGTCCCACAGGTCCAAGCCTGCAGATTGGTGTCTGCTGGACGCGCTGGGAGGAAGTGGACCGGGAAGGATTGTAGAATCTGCCTGCTGCTGCGGGGACCATGCCTGACGGTCAGGTAAGTTTTGCTGGACTCCAACAAAACTTGCCTCCTCTGGCCTTTGCGCCAGGGCGACCACCGCAGACTGTGAATTTTACTGCATTTATTGCTGGGAGCTGGATGTCTCGGGTTGCTGTTGAAATATGTTTTCTTGTTTAATGTCGTCATATGCTATTTTCGTGTAGAAGACTATTTGTTCTGCTCTGTTCCTTTTTTTGTTTTCTAAAGATTTATTTTTATTATTTTTTTATTGGAAAGGCAGATATACAGAGAGGAGAGACAGAGAGGAAGATCTTCCGTCCGATGATTCACTCCCCAAGTGAGCGCAACGGCCGATACTATGCCGATCTGAAGCCAGGAGCCTCTTCTGGGTCATCCATGCGAGTGCAGGGTCCCAAAGCTTTGGGCCGTCCTCGACTGCTTTCCCAGGCCACAGGCAGGGAGCTGGAAGGGAAGCGGGGCTGCCGGGGATAGAACCGGTGCCCATGTGGGATCCCGGGCGTGCAAGGCGAGGACCTTAATCACTGCGCCATTGCGCCGGGCCCCTCTGTTCCTTTTTAAAGATGTATTATAATCTTAAAGACAGAGTTACAGAAGGAAAGGAGAGAGAATATCTTCCATCTGCTGGCTCACTCCCCAAGTGGCTGCAGTAGCTGGGGGGGCGGGCCAGACTGAAGCCAGAAGGCTGGAACTCTACCTGGGCCCCCCATGTGGACAGTAGGGGCCCAAATATTTGAACCACCTCCTGCTTTGCAGGCATATTAGCACAGAACTGGACCTGAGTAGAATAGCTACAACTCCAATCAGTGTCAATATCGGGTGCTGGTGTCGCAGGTTGCAACGCAACTGGCTGTGCCACCTGCTCCTTGTTCTATTACTTTTTCTTACTTGAGCTTTGTCGCAATTTTCAGTTGCTTCTCTGGGATTTGAGTAAATACAATTATTTTATCTCCTCTTTTCTCCTTAAGATGTCTCGCTTTCTCTGCTGGTCCTCCTGTGTCAGCAGAGCCTCCCCCATCACAGCAGCGATGGAGGGGGGGGGCATTGTCTTGTTCAGAGTCAGACGGGCGCTTCTGCTGCTTTCATCCACCGTGAATCTTGCTAGGGTTTTGTCTTGATGGGGGTGTGTCTGTGTGTGACGTCCTGCTAAGGCAGGCTGCCTCCTCCTGGGTTGGTTTCGGCGTGGGTCGCAGGCGGCAGGCCTTCTCAACTTCTGTGATGGTCATAGTTCTCCTTCCTTCGTGGAGGACAGAAGTGAAATTCCAGATGTCCGATTAGTGACCCGTCCTTGTCACCCTGTTCCGGTCTCCGTTGGTTCTGGTGACATCTTTTCCTGTACTGTCTGAGGCATAAGTGACCATGCCCTGTGGCTTTCCTGCATCACGCTGTCACTGTGGGCGTTTGGTAGCAACAACCAGCTGTGTCCCAGTGAAGGCCGTGACTGCCTTCCTGTCTGCCTGGGGCTGGCTGAGCAGCACTGGGCTGGATGTGGCACTAGAGAGGCTGGTGGGCTTCACCCCAGAAGTGGCCCGGCCTGGGGTGGCTTCCCCACCCCTCCGCCTTCAAGGTCTGGGGAAGGGCTTCCCAGTTCCTTCAGGCGAAGCTGGTGTCTTCTCTCGGGACATTCCGAGTCCGCCAGCAGACAGCCTCGATAGCCCCTCGATGTTGTCGTCAGCTTTAGGCTTTCCTGCTGGAACACAAGTGTGCCCGAGGCCACTGTCCCCCTGCTCCCCCCGGCTGCTGGCTGGCTTGGGTGTGCAGGAAACGCTGGCTGTGTCCAAGCTGATCTCGGGCAAACAGGCGGGTGGGACACTGCTCTCCCCCAAGTAACTGAGAAGCCTGGGAGCCCCGTGGCCTCACTGCTGCCTCTCCTGGCCCTCCCTAGCTTTAGAGAGGGCTGAAAAGTCCATGGAACCAAGCTGGTGTTCCCTCATTGTGCATTGCTGGGCTCAGTTCTCTCCCTCACTTACAGTGGGTGTGGAGGCAGCTCCCCTCGCATTTCTGCTGTAACAGCTGGCTGCGCTCCACCCACTGGGGTATTTCCTCACAACCTCAGCTGATGGCAAAAATGTGACTGCTGGCAGTCTCTCCCGGGGCGCAGCTCGCCGCCTCCCGCGCCTGGCCGAGCACTCGTACGATGTGGGGCCTCTTGAGCCTGGCTCATGGCATGACACATAACATCCTCAGGGTCATCCATGCCCTCCCAAGCACCTCCGACGGCTGACTCACACGCACCGCACGCGTGGGCTTTGTGCAGCTTACCTATCCACACACTTCCTTCCTTCTCTTCTTCCTCTCAATTTTTTGAAATCTTCAGGACAAACAACATGATAGCAGTAGAAAGGGAATTTTATTTTTTAAAAGGTTTATTTATTAACTTGAAAGGCAATGTTAGAGAGATCTCCCATCTGCTGGTTCACTCCTCAGATGGCCATAACAGCCAAAGCTGAGCTGATCCAAAGCTGGGAGCCGGGAGCCCGGAACTTCTTCCAGGTCTCCTATGTGGGTGCAGGGTCCCAAGGTTTTGGGCTGTCCTCCAGTGCTTTCCCAGGCCACAGGGAAGGACCTAGATGGAAAGTAAAGCAGCCAGGACATGAACTGGTGCCCATATGGGATCCCTGCATGCTAGGTGAGGACTTTAGCCACTAGGCTACTGCATCGGGCCCCACAGCATTTTTATATGTGGTAGGTATGCAGCCCTGTTTTCTGCTTTACCCTAGGCTTTTTTCTGTTAAACCATTGCTTTATATTGGACGCTCTGATAATTGGGTCCACAATATTACATCTAATAACTACCACAGCCTTAATCATTTTTCGGTTGGCTATTTATAATTTTTCATCTTTTTGAAGAATGAATTATTTTGAAATTTTTGGGAACCATTTCCCTTCCCTCCCTCCTGGGTTTTTAGGATGAAGTCTTGCGAGTGAGTTTCTTAGGTTTCCCAGACTGCAGGCACCTTCACGGGGCGGGCACTGGTGTGGGCGTGCCCTCACCACATAAACACTGCTAATGCAGGCCTCCAGATGGCGCTGTGCTGGTCCTTCATGCGGCCAGCAGGAAGGCTTCCCAGGCGTCCCCTCCTCCTCCGTGCTGCGGCTATTTCTGGCTCTGTTCCGGCACCAGGTCGTCTCACGGGCCTCGGAGATGCTCTTTTCCTTTTCCTGTCTGGTTGCTCAGCACGTGCTATAGATGTGAATATGGACTCATCTTTGTGGGGGCTCGTCCCCCTGTAAGCTCTGTGTGCACACTCAGACACACCTGCACTGCGTCAGTGTTGTCAGCTTTGTCCCGACCAGGGAGAACTCTTTCTCTCCCTGCTTTCCTGCTAAACCTGATTGGCAGAGCGTGGGAGACAGGCTGGAAAAGCTTCTCGGTTCTTTTCTGGATTGGAAATCCCAGATGCTTGGCTATGAACTACAGGAGCATCCAACTGCAGTGATGGGCCTCTCGGTGGCCTGCTGGCCTTGCTGAAGGATGTCGGGGTTCTCTGATGGTGTATGGCATGACTTAGGGGGCGTTTGGGAGGAGCACTGCGCAGTTCAGCTGGGGACACGGCTAACTAATGCGTAGGCTGTGGCCCGAGGCTGTTACAAAAGCAGAAAGTGGGCGATGGAGCTCATGTGGTTGTATGATCTTGGGTGTTTCTGCAGCTCCCTAGCTTTTGCTTGTCTGTTCCTCACAGAGCCACTGGGAGGCCTAGGATAGAGCTGACCTCTTGCAAGGCATCCAAGTAGCACCTGGGCCCTGGGGTCCTGGGGTCCTGGGCTAGTGACTTAGGCCCCTTCCCTTCCTTCCAGATGCTGGAAAGGGGCAGGCTGACTGCCTCATCCCCACGCATCCCAGACCACATACCTGCTGTGCATCAGGGACTGAGTGAGCAGGCAGAAGCCAGAGGCAAGTCTGGCGTCAGGCCTACCAGCCGACTCACTCCTCACGCCTAAGGCTTCACCCTGTATCTGGAATCTGCAGCTTTGGGAAGTTTTATTTACCCATCTGAAAGTCAGAGGAACAGAGAGCAGGAGAAAGAGCTTTTCCTTTTGCTGGTTTACTCCCCAGCTGGCCACAAGGGCTGAGGCTCGGCCAGGCCAGAGGCAGGAACTTCTTTGAGGCCTCCCGCATGGGTGGCAGGGCCCAAGCACTTGGCCCATCTTCTGCTACTTCCCGGGCACATTAGGGAGCTGGATGGGCAGTGGAGCAGCTGGGATTCTGGCGCTCATATGTGTGGCTTCACCTGCTGCACCATAGCCCGGGGCCCCTTGCAGAAATCTGGACTCTTACCAGCTCCTGTGAAAGGTTCAGTGTAGAAAGGGCTTGAGGAGGCCCCCTAGCAAGGGCCTGTTCCAAGCCATGAGAGCTCCCCGGGCAGTTGCACCAAGCCAGGGGACAGGTTCCTGGATCCAACGGCTTTATTTTTTGGTTGAGAACTTGGGGGGGAAACCTGTCTGCCAAAAGATACTGGAATCCTCTGAACGCTATAGCCTGGTCTGAGTCCCTGGTGTCCACTCTGAACACAGATGCTCCCAGCGAAGCTCTTGATTAAAGGGCTTGGGGCTGTGACCTCCCCTGAAGGAGCATCAGGCCTCCCAGGACAACTGGAGCCAGCCAGGGGAGCCCCATCTTGCAGATCCCTCCCTCGTTCCACAGGGCTAATGAGGTGACAGCAGTTACTGAAGTCCCAAGCCAAGGTGAGCCATCTCCTGGGGCAGGTGGAGGAAGGCCCAGACCAGGTGGTTTGCCGCCACCAACCCCTCATCCCCAAGCCTGGAGTATTTTAAAAACGACACGTGGCTCTTCCCTCTTGTACCCAGAGCCTGTGCCATTTCTTGGAGTGTCTTGGCACATGGTGCTGGTGGTCCCATGCCAGCTGACAGCCTTGACCATGCCAGGAGCCAGGATCAGAACAGAAGGTGAAGGAGCTGGAAGGCATTGGCCCCGTCGGAATCTCACTCTGCAAAGGAGAGAGGACTGGGCTGCAGGGCACAGAAGAGAGTGCACCACTGTCTCCGGGTAATACACACCTAGCTAGCTGCCACCCACCATGTCATGCCCTTGGGCAGGAACAGCAGGTGTGGGCAGGTGGTTCCCAGCACCTGCAGGCTGCGGGCACTAGGCCCAATCTGCTGATGCCCTCAGCAACCAGACAGCTGCCACGTGCTTGCTCTGTGTCAGGCTCTGGCTGCATGTACCCAGCAGACTGAGCAGTTGCCAGGCAAAGGCAGGGACCAGCTGAACCCCAGGACATGAGGTTGGAGAGCAACAAGAATCCAGTTAACATGAGGTGGGGAACAAAGGGTTGCTAGGAGCCATGCCAGCAGGATCCCGCAGGAGAGGAGGAATGAAGTGTGCAGCAACTGATGGCCGTGGACCATCCAGTGACCCTGGGATGAGTCTATTGCAGCCAAAGCCAGCCCTGTTGCTTGGCTGTGAGACTCACTCCACCCGTCTGTGTGAGCGGCCCCATGCTCGAGGGCCTGTGTGACTCTGTCTAGGTGTGTCTGGGCTGGCTCTTGCACTCAGAATGTTGTCTCGGTGAGAGTCTGGCTTAGTCAGTGGAGTCTGGAGAGAGTTCATCATGATTGGAGTGGCAAGATGTGCAGCAATACAGAACTGTTGAACTATCCAAACCGCTTGAGCAGGACCCTCGGAGCATGCCCACACTGGGGACCCTGGGTTTGGCTTCTCTCCTTATCTCTCCCCTCCCCAAGACACTGGAAGGGAAAAGAGAGAATGTGGAAACAATGGTCTCCCCCACTTTCCTCTAGCCCTTGGCCCGTCTCACCCCAATCAAATATGTAGAAATTCTCAAAATTTATAGAATTAAAAAATGAAGAGTCTAGCTTAGGTTTTATATGTATATAACGTACAGCACTGCATTTAGTGCAGCACCATACCAGCACTGAAGAGGTGCTTGGTCAATGTATTTAAAAATACTTTCGGTGATAAAAATACCTCACAGAAAATTTACCACCTTAGCCATTTCCAAGTACCCGGTTTAGCTTTGCTAAGCACACGCATGTGATTATATAACCGATCACTAGAACTTGCCAGATCTTGCAAAAGTGAAACTCCATACTCAGAAAACAACCTCCTCTACTGCCCTGGACCCAGCCCCTGGCAGCCGCCGTCCTCCTTTCCGTGAATCTGACCACTCCAGCTCTGCCTCTGGTACGTGGAATCGTGTAGCATTCGTCTTCTGGGAACTGAACCCTGTTATGTGGCATGATGCACATGGTGGTGTGTGCTGGACTTGCAGTGACGTCAGTGGGCAGCTGGGCTGCTACGGACCTTCTGGCCACTGCGTCCAGGCTGCTGTGAACAGGGTGTGTCAAAGCGTGGTGGGGGGAGCATTCTCAGAAGTGGTGTTGCTGTCAGAGGAGGCCTCCCTTCACAGCGCTGCTCTATGGCCTGTCCCGACTGCAGCGTGCCTGTTACAGGGGCTCTAGACTCTGCAGTTCCCTCACAGTGCACTGCACTCAGCGTTCGCATGCTAGGCAGCAGCAAGCATCTCTAAGCTCGTGGGCCCTGAGCATCTTTGGAGAACCCCAGCGTTGTCCTTCCTTTGTGCTCCTGGAGCTCCGCACATGCCACGGATGCTGGCCTCTCACCAGCTGATGTGCAAATGCTTGCTGGCCTCCCACCTGCCGCCTGGTGCACTCTGTGGGCAGCATCTTCCCGTACGGTCCACTGTGTCTTTTCACGGATTGCCCTCTGGTGTCATATCCCAGGGATGATTGCCAAAGTCAGGGGCCCGAAGCTCGCCCTCTTGGCTGTCTTCTAGGGGTTGGTTTTAGGTCTCTGATGTCCTTGGAGTCACTTTGTGACATTTCAGGACACTGTCAGTAACACAGATGGCCACACAGCCATATTGCAAAGGTTTGTTCCTGGACCCAGCATCCCATTCCACTGGCCCACGTGTCCATCTGCCAGCAGTTTCCTGTAGCAATTACAAAGCTCGAAAATGGGGACATGTTGGACTTTATTTTTCAAGATTGTTTCTGTTATTTAGGATCCTCTGGAATCCCATGTGAATTTCACGATGGATTTTTCCATCACTGTAAAAAAAAAAAATATACCCAGGATCGGGATTGTGACAGGATTCCATGGCACACACTGCAAGCCCTCCTGTTCCATTGTTGACTTAGTTCTTTTAATCTTTGTTCAGCCAGTCTAGCCCAAGGTTTGTCAGTGCTGATGTTTTAAAAGCAGCAAATCTCAGTTTTGCTGACTGATGTTCCCCATTTTTCTTTGTTGTTTCTGACTTCCAATAGTTTTAGGCTTCACTGTTTTGTTTGGTTTTTTTTTAAACTAATTTATGGTGTAAAGGTGGAGTGTTACTTTGCGATGTTTCCTCTTTGTTTTCATTCTAAAAGGCAGAGAACCTTCCAGGCTCTGGTTCACTCTTCCAACCCCCACGAGCGTCCAGGTGAGGCCAGGGTAAGGCCAGGAGCCTGGGATTCAATCCTGGCCTCCCAGGTGGGCGGCAGGGGCCCAGGCACTCAGAGCTGTCCCCTGCAGTCCCACAGGTTGGACACAGAGGACCTGGGACGTGACGGCCCCAAGGGGCGTCTCCACTGCGGTGCTCTAGTTCCTTCTGTAATGTAAGCACCTGCTGCGGCCCAGTCGCCTGAGTTAGTTCTCATTGCCATTCTGGTGTCTGACCCACTGGCTGTTCAGAACTGTGCCTTTTCACTTCCACACAGGCAGCTCTTCAAACATGGCACAAAGCATGTGTAGCCTTTCATTCCATTTTCCATGAACTCTGGTGCATCCTTATTAGGGCGGATCCAGTTTCCTTCTGCTGGGAGAGCTCATCGCTAAGCCGAGGCCCTCTGCTTTGTGGCCTGGCACGTTGTCTTCTGGAGCATGCCTCGTGTGCCCATGTCAGGTGAGCGTGTACAACTCTATTGAAACAAGTAGCAACTCCAGTTGAATTACACTGTGTTATGCAGCTGTCACACCACCTTTGTTGTCGTCACAAGTTACATCTTTATTTGTGGTATATCCATTGACATTGATGTATAGTTACTTTGATGGGATTTTAAAAACCATAAGAGTTAGAAGCTGAGTCATGAACCAAAATCAGATACTGGCCTTGACGTTCTGATCTGGGTAGCACCTGCTATGACCTGGAAGATGCCTTCAGCACGTCGTGGGGGAGGCCCCAAGCCTTGGCTTCCCTCTGCTCCTGTTTACTGGTGAGGGTCCCATTTCCTTCCTAGTTTCTGAGGGTGGCCGTGGCAGGTGCACTGCTTTCCTCTCACACAGGAAGTACCCCTGAGTCTGGTGGTCTGTCTGGCAAGGTGTCTAGAGAAACCCAGGCCCCCTTGTGGGTGACAAGTCCCAAAAGGAAACTCTTACACGTGCCAGCCATGTCCTCTTACACGTGTAGCACGGCTCGGTGTAGACCTCCTGTGGGCTTCCCCTACGTGCAGCTGGCTGAGCCTCTTGTATGCTGCATCTCCACTTCCTTCCCCAAAGTCTGGAAGTTCTTGCCATTATTTCTCCAATAAGCCCTCGCCCCCTAGATGGGTTCCCGAAAGTCCCTGAGGCTGGATTCACTTTTCTTCCTTTGCTTCTCGGAGTGAATAATGTCAAAAGCCCGTCTGCCCCTGGGGAGCCCAGCGTTTAACCCCCTTGCTTTTTCTTTTCAATGCAGTGACTATTTCTCAGCTCTAGGAATAATCTGGTCCTATCTTATAACATGTCGTTATCCTCATTTGGTTCATGTGACATTTCCCTGGCTTTCTATGTTCTTCCATTCAGAGTGCTGTTGGGAAGCTCTTCCAGGAATATCCGAGGCCCATTTCTTCAGCGTCATTTTTTGCAGGTTTATTTGGTTCCTTTGAGTGGGTCTCATCTCCCTATTTCTTGTGAACCTTTGTGGGGTTTTGTAAAGTATGTATTCTAAAGGCACCAGGACTCAGCCAGGACCTGGGCTTCCCACGTAGATGCAGGAGCCATCTCCTGCTCTTCCAGGTGCGATAGCAGGGAGCAGCTGGGTCTCAAACTGGCGCCCTTTAAGGATACCAGAGTCTTAGGCCCAGGTTTAACCCACTGCCCCCCAACACACACACGCATGCACCCCAGGCCTCGTGAGCCTTTGGCATGCACTGGCATTCCAACAGAAGTTACCTCTCCTGGTGTCGGCTGACCTGCCCTGCACGAGGGGAAGGGCTTCGCTGATCACTGGGGGACGTGTCTTCCCACATGGTCCCTGCCGCCTCTGGCACACCTGAGTTCCAGCCCCAGGACGCCGGGCTGCTTCCGGAGCCATGCTCTAATCTGGGCCTTGCTGCTGCTTGGGGGTCTCATGTGATGCTGTGCTCCCCCCTCCCAGGCTCTGAGGTGCCACAGACCTCCTGCAGTGCAGTCCACACTGGCCCCTGCAGGCCCCTCTGGCCTGACACCCATGTTGTGTCTCCATGCTCCTGGGTGCTCCATGGCAGGCATGACAGGAGGCGGCCCCACTCCTCAGGAGCAAGCCAACGCCTTTAGTCCAGGCTCCTCCCTTCTGATCCAGGGAGGACCCAGGAATTGGAACTACCAGAAAGACTGCACTCAGGTAGGGCTGCTTGCCTGTCTGAGTGTGGCTTTTTCAAGCTCTGGTAACAATATGGCCATTGTTGCAGCTGAACATGCATCTAGAACTGGCATGGTTTTCTAACACATTGTTATGTCATCTTGGGTGAAGTGTCTTGAGAGATGTTTTTAAAGATTTGTTGTTGGGGACACAGCACGGTAGCCTAGCAGCTAAAGTCCTCACCTTGCGTGTGCCAGGATCCCATATAGGTACCAATTCTAATCCTGGCAGTGTCACTTCCCATCCAGCTCCCTGCTTGTGGCCTGGGAAAGCAGTTGAGGACAGCTCAAAGTCTTGGGACCCTGCACCCACGTCAGAGACCTGGAAGAGGCTCCTGGCTCTAGATTGGCTCCAGCTGTTGTGGCCGCTTGGGAGTGAATCAGTGGATGGAAGTTCTTCCTCTGTCTCTCCTCCTCTCTGTATATCTGACTTTCCAATAAAATTAATAAATCTTAAAAAAAAATTCATTGTTGGAGGGCCCTGCCTGATGGCTCAGCTAAATCTTCATCTTGCAAGTGCCAGAATCCCATATGACGCTGGTGTGTGTCCCAGTTGTTCCACTTTCATTCCAGCTCCCTACTTAGAGCCAAGGAAAGCAGCAGAGGAAGGTCCAAGGCCTTGGAACCCCGTAGCCTCATGGGAGACTTGGAAGAAGCTCAGCTCGTCATTGTGGGCACTCAAGGTGTGACCCAGCAGATGGAAGCTCTGTCTCTTCTGTAAATTTGCCTTTCCAATAGAAATAAATCTTTAAAAAAAAGTTGTTTGCAAGGTAGAGCAATAGCAATTAATCTTCCATTTACTGGTTCACGCCCCAGATAGCCGCAAGTCAGATCTGAGCCAGGCCGAAACTCGAGCCAGCCTTCTGATACGGGATGCTGACTTAAGCCACTGCATCATGCCAGTGCATTGCCCTGCTCTTAGCCCATTGTTCTCCTGTGTAGTTTTTTTAAAGATTTATTTTTATTGGAAAGTGAGACATACAGAAAGGAGAGACAGAGAGGAAGATCTTCCATCTGATGATTCACTCCCCAAGTGACTGCAACGGCTGGAGCTGGAGCCAATCTGAAGCCAGAAGCCAGGAACCTCTCCTGGGTCTCCCACGCAGGTGCAGAGTCCCAAAGCTTTGCGCTGACTGCCTTCCCAGGGCACAAGCAGGGAGCTGGATGGGAAGCTGGACCACTAGGATTAGAACCAATGCCCATATGGGATCCCAGCGCATGAGAGGTGAGGACTGTAGCTACTAGGCTACCGTACCAGGCCCTTGGGTATGTTTTGTACTGTGGAGTTGGCAGAGTTGTATATATGGTTGGGAAGAATCCTTGGTCAGAAATGTGACTTGCCAACTTTTTCTGTTTCCATCACCCTACCAGGGTCTTACACAGAGCAGTCACCTTTTATTGACCTAGATGAGGAAATCCAGGGTCCTGATCTGTCCTTCTCCAAGTCCTACTCTGGGTTTTTTGTTGCCTAGCCTTTTGCCTCACCAGGCGGCGAGCTGTTAAAAGATGGATGCAATGCCCTGAGGTATCCATCCATCGGCAGATGCCGCTGGAGTTGTCCCAGCCCTGGCATTGTGCCTCCACCATGTCATTCCTTTCCCATTCTATGACTCTCTCAGCTGATCCTTCTAGTATGCCCAGCTCTGCAGACCCTCTGGGCTCCGTCCTGAGCAGGGGCAGCTCAGACTGCAAGACCTGGACTGCACATGGCGTGACCGGGTGCCTGGTGGTAGGAGCCGAGATCGAGTTTACTCTGTTAGTTGTTGGACTGTCCTTCCCTGTGGATGAAAGCATTCTCCTTGCCTCCCTTTCCCTGACAGGTGATCTCTCTCCTCCTCCGGGAAGCGGCACCCGAGACCCTTGCTGGAGTGTGGCTTCTCTGCAGCCCCGTTCACGGGGTCTCGTATGGACCCATCACAGGGGTGGGACACCCCGGGCCCTTGCTCACATTCAGGTTCTCTGGTCCATAGCCTACTGCTGTTGAACCGTTCCTAGAAATTCTCAGGTGATGACTTTTATTGTACACTTCCAAACGTATCCGCCCCTGCAGGGCGTGGGTGGCCCTTCCTGCCAGGGTAGGCCAGGGCACTTGGGGTCAGCCTCTCCAACCTTGCAGGGGGCGTGCGACAGACTGATTGAGAATGAGCAGGAGCGGATGTGAGACCAGGGCAGGGGACCTGTCTCCAAGGGCGGGACATTTGGAGATGCATAGCGCCACATGCGGACCACACGAAGCTTCAATGTGAGCCTGCTAGGGACTGGCCGCACTTGGAGTCACCTGCATGGTGAGCCTTGGCTGGGCTGGATCAGGTGAAATCTGGGCTTTATGAGCTCAGGGGCTGCACAGCCCCAGCCCTGCTGCAGACACCTGCTCTAAGCAGGCCTCTTTTTGTCATAACAATACTCCTTTTGGGTCTGGACAACTGACAGCTTTTCTCCATAGACAGGGGCTGAGGCACCAGCTTACCACACTGGGGCAGAGGGTCCAGGGGCACAGAGCTGCGGGCACACAGGTGGATGTAGGCAGCTGCCAGATTGCAGGCAACTTGGCATTCCTGGGGGTCACAGGCATCCTGGATGCATGTGCTGAGAAAGGGTGTGGGGCCCACCTAGAATCGGCACCCTCCAGTCACAGGTCTTGCCCAGCACACACATGGGAGCAGCCCAAGGACTGGGGGTATAAGATATGCTGGCAGGCAAGCCAGGGGCTGTCCTGGGCCCCATGGCTGAGCAGCCTCCCTCCAGGACCCAAGTCCAGCCTCTCTCACTTACCACTTGAAAGCGGGGGTCCTGGAAGGGGGCCCTGCAGGCGGGGCCCTGACTTGAGCACAGTCGCCAAGTCTCCTCTGTAGGTGCAGACCCCCAAGTACATTGGCCTCAGAGGAGCTGCCCCTCATCCGGGCAGGGACAGGTCACCTGTACGGCCCTGGGCTCTGGAACCAGCAGTTCTCAGGGATTCCCAGCTGGGTGCCACCCTCCCAGAAACACATCTACCTTGGAGCCCCGGTCAGACCTGCCAGGCCTGGGTGAGCTCCTCCAGGCTGCTGGCCTTTGTGCCAAATGGCAGCAGCAGCTCATCTCCTGCCTCGTTGGTGTTGGTGCCCAAAAGGCCAGCTGATGCACCTACAGGGCCAAAGTGCTCATGTCCCCTGACTCCCACCCTCAGGTCTGGCTCTGAACTGTCCCAAGAAACCGCACTGGTGATCTCCTGGCTGGGCCTGGGGCCACCTCTAGGTGAAGAGGCTGAGGCAGAGCCCACTTCCAGCTAAGGGTCCTTGCTAGGAAAGGGGGCTCCAGCTCCTGCCCTGCAGCTAAGGAACCAGGGAAGCCCAAGGGAGACTCAACTCCAGCCAATGCATCTGACATCTGTCACTGGGGTCGAACTGGGAAGAGCAGAGGACATAAATGTCATACCACCCCTGGGGTGGTCACAGCATGGAGGTGACCAAGGCAGCAAGGCCACCCTGTGTCCATCTGTCCCGAGGCTGAGCCCTCAAGGCTACTTACTCCTGAGTGCCCACACCCTGGGGCCTGCTAGGGACGGTGGGAATACAATAGGGTGGCATGCCTCGCCTTCCACCCAGGAGACTGGCAGTGTAGAACAGCCATTTCAGGCCAGCACCAAGGCCCGAGGCTCAGACTCAGAGTCAGGCCGCAGAGGCCAGCTTGTAGGTCACAGGAGATGGAGAAAACATCCTCGCTGCTCAGCTCAACCCGGGCCTTGTCCCTCCTTATGGTGGCTGGAGGCAGTCCTGGGGCAGGACAGCTCTGCCATGGCAGCAGGGTGTAGGCCTGTGTGCCACCAAGGGGCTGAGCAAGACATCCTGTCCACCAGGGGACAGGTGAGACTGGGCGCCCCCATCCCCTCCCACTCACCTTCAGCGCAGGGTACACAATGAGGGACATGTCCGGTAGCCCCACGGACAGGGCTGCAAGCCCGGAGTTGTCCCAGCTCAGCGTTAGCATGGATGTGTCATGTGCCAAGTCCTGGGCCAGCACGAGGCTGCCACAGCGGGCACCGAGACTCCACACCTGGCTGTCAAAGGTCACCACGTGCCAGGACCCAGCCACCACAGCATGGTCTGGAGAGAAGAGGCCCCAGACGGGTGAGTCAGAACCCTAGGACCCCATCCCAGTGTCCAGAGAACCTCAAATTTTCTGACCAACCCAAGACTGAGATGGCTGCTGTGACCCAGGCGAGTCCTAGAAGCGTCATGCTTAAGTCATAGCTCATGACAGCAGGTGAAAGCGGTGTGCAGATTCAGACATAACAGTTTGGGGGTTGCTGGGGGTGGGGTTAGGGTCACAGTTTCAGGGTGGTAAAAATTACCTAAAACCCAAGGTGACAGACAGCTACCCTTGGGAGCAGAAACCCAGGCTGTTGGCTTCCAGCTGGCTCAGCTCTGGCCATTGCAGCTCTTTGAGGGGCCAGCCTGTTGGATGGAAGATACTTTCAAGTAAAGATATATCTTAAAACCAAACACAGGCAGCGAGTGGAGCACTGAGAATAGCCCAAGGCAAGGCATAGGGATTGCAGGGCAGGAGGGCTGCGGGCACACGGAACTATTTCTAAGCCCACAGGCCAAGGCACCATCAGCCACCAGGCAAGGGCCTGGCTCAGACCCCCTCAAGGTCTGCAAAAGGAAGCCCTCTTTCTCAAGCTCTCTTGTCTTCCCCTCACCCAGTCTGCCTGTGGGCAGGGCAGGAGGCACTGCCTTTGGCATACAAGTGGAGCCTATTACAACCTCAGCAAGTTGCAGCAGGGCCCAGGTCAGGCCAAGGCCAGCACAGGCTGGTGCCTGTCATGCATACAGCATAGCCGGGGTGGTGCAGCACCCCCACCCAGACGTGAGCTGCTTTCCTGGTCCACACCCTGCTTGAATCTGGACTTCACAGGGTCCAGAGAGGTTGGCAGCCCCACCCCACCCCACCCCACAGCGGGCAGGAGCCAGCGCACGCTCCCCCAGCACCACATCCGGTCCCCCAACGGCCCTTGGCCACAAGCCCTGCCTCACCCTGGAGTCTGGGCTCAATTAGCAGCTTTCCGGCTGCCCGAGGAAGTCCAGCAGGGTCCTCTGGGAGCAAGCTGGCCCAGACCTCTAGCATGCACCCCTCTCCCCTGGCTCTTGGACATAAACCACAGCTGGGGCCCCAGATGACCTCAGGAAGTCCACATATGTTCTGGACCAGGCCAGGCCTAGGAGGGCCTCCCCTAGGCCCCCACCCCAGGGAGCACAGGGGCAGGACTCACATTGCAGGGGACTCCCCAGCAGGCGGTGGCGGAGCCCATAGAACAGGGCGGGCACATTGGCCCCGTAGAGCAACCGAAGTGGGCGCAGCAGCTGCTCCTCCACTGGGTAGCTGGTCACCCGGGCCACATCCCAGGGCCCATCCCCCGCGGGCAGCAGCCACCGTCACTAGCACTGAGAAGTTCCTGCAGGGAAGACAGTCAGATCTGCTGGCTGCTTTAGGTGCCTTGGCTGGGAAACACTGAGTGAAGGGCCTGGGGCTAGGCCATGCAATACAGGTTGGAGTGGCAGTGGGGGTGCCAGTCCATGGCTGGGGCTTTGAAAACAGGGCCCAAGGATCCTGGGACTGGGAGCTCTCTGCCCCTTGGGGAAGGAATCCTCCCCCAGGCTTTATTCTCAACACGTGTGCAAGGCACAGCACACCCGACCTTGGCTCACCCCAGGGCCAGGCCCCGTGCCATGCGCTCACCCTAACCACCACCCCTGTCCTGCCCGGTGATTATCTGTGTCAGATGGCAGATGCTGCAAAGCAGAAGAGCTCAGACCCAACTACAGCCAGCAGGGTCTGTTCCAGGAAGCCCTAGACAGCCTCGTGTGGTGAAAACCTTTATATAAAAACTGGACCTTGGGCCCTGCGCGGTGGCCTAGCAGTTCACTGGGATCCCATATGGGCACCGGTTCTAATCCCGGCAGCCCCACTTCCCATCCAGCTCCCTGCTGGTGGCCTGGGAGAGCTGAGGAGAATGGGTACAGGTTCTCAAGGCTTTGGGCCAAAGCGGAAGACCTGGAAAAAGCTCCTGGCTCCTGACTAGCTCAGTTCCAACCCGGGGCTCTCTGGGGAGTAAACCAGTAGATGGAAGTTCTTGCTCTCCCCTGCTCTCTTTCAGAAAAAAAAAAAAAATAATAAATCAGGATGATGAAATAGAGTGTGTGCCGCGCAGCAGGCCCTGGATGTGGTCCTGTCCGCCTTGTACCTGCTTACCCTCCGCACCCCCACCCAGGAGAGCCTCCCCTGGACAGAGGTGTCTCACCGAGCTGAGAAGCTGTAGGGATGCAGCAGGGGCTGACATAGGTGGTTCAGCGCCCGTGCGAGTGTGGTCTCGACCCAGGTCAGGGTCTGCTGGAGGGCCTGCGGGACAGGGCACGAGCCGTCAGGGCCATCCTCCTGCAGCTGAGCCCCCTCCACCTGTCCTGGTCCCACCTCAGCAGCTCCAGGGCGCCCTCGATGGACCTGGGAACCCAGATGCCCAGCAGCTGTATGCTCTCCTCGGCCCACTCCCGCCACACCTCCTCCAGGGGCCACAGCGTCACCTCCAGGTAGGCTTCCTGCAGCATGGCCAGGGGGCCTGCCACAGTAATATCCTAACGTCTGGGAAGGCAGCAGAGAACCGCCCAAGTGCTTGGGCCCCTGCACCGTGTGTGAGGCCCAGATGGAGCTGCAGGCTCCTGGCTTCCACCCAGTCTAGTGCTGTCTGCTGTGGCCTTGGAGCCTTTCCTTTTGGAAGCCTTAAGGGTTGGCCGAGGTGCGAGGACTGCTAGATGCCCAGCAGACCACACAGGACTTGGACTTTCACGATCCACTGCTTCTTTGGGGCAGGGAGTGCTGGAGGTGTGCTGACACCAGACTGGAGGTCCCAGATGACCCTGCTCTGGCCTCCCGCTGCAGCAAGTCCTAGCTGCAGTACCACAGGACAGGCTCCTGGTCAGCCACCACCACCAGGGATAAAGGTGTTGTCACTCGTCTGACCTGGCCAGGGAAGGGCGAGGGTTGGGGGGTGGGCATCTCCTCTGAGCTTAGTTCCCAGCTGGGCCAGGGCTCAGCCTTGGGCCCCTGGGTAGTAGAGAAAGTAGGTTTGCAGCCCCAGCAGGAGCGCTCTGGGGGTGGAGGGGGTGTCACAGCTGGCTATGGCCCAGGATGGGAGGCCCTCCCAAGCCCATGGCCACACAAGGCGCCCTGCAGAGCCGGGAACCCGCCCTGGAGTCCCATAGCAGTGAGCCTCGCCAAGTTCTGTGGCCGGAACTGCAGCTGCCCCCACACTCACGGTTCAGCTCTAGCCGCAGCTGCTCCAGCGCCCCCTGCAGCCATTCCAGGTAGAGGGGCAGGTCCCACGTCAGCACCTGCAGGGCCTGGCTCCCAGCCCATGTGGCTGCTGCCCCCCTGACCACTCACCTGCACAGCCTCCAGTCCTGCCTGGGATAGCTGCAGCAGGTGGCCCACCACGTCATCCGTGGCCCTTACTGGCTGCAGAGAAACCAAGGCAGGGGTCAGGGAAAGGGAGATAGGACACATAACATTCCAGAAGCTTATGACTGGGGAAGAGTGCCTAGTCAGCAAGAGTCAGAACTCAGGCCAGAGGGGACTCCCCGCATAGAGACCCCCCAGCCTTCCTCACACTCCATCCAGCATGTGTACCCGCACAGAGACCCCCAGCCTTCCTCACACTCCATCCAGCATGTGTACCCGCAGAGACCCCCAGCCTTCCTCACACTCCATCCAGCACGTACACCCACCAGGAGCTGGACCCTTCTCAGGTAGGTGGCCATGCCATGGATCTCCTCCTCCAGCAGGGCCCACACTCGCGATCCCATGGCAGCAATCCTGGACTGTGGGGCGGGGGCACAGGTTCCTGACATGGACAGGTCTTCTACCCAGCTGCAGGTGCCCAGCACGGTGCTGTGTGCCTGGGGCTCCCACCATCAGCATGGCCTCAGCGCGCCCCACCCCACGCCCCCAGCCCAGCCTCCTCACCTCCACATGGCCCAGCAGGGTCCCTGAGCAGCCTTGGGCAGCCAGGAGGAGACTGGTTGGCAGCCTGCAGGCTGAGGTGGCCCAGGTGCTGCACAGGCTGCCCACTACCCTGGAGCAGAGCCTCCACCTTGACTGCCCACCTGTGGGCACATGCCCGCAGCACCACGCGCTTGTCTCTTCTCCCTGGGGCCAGGAAAGGACCTGAGATTGCATCCTTGTCTTCCCCCACCCTCCTCCCACATGGCACAGCCTCCTGGGGTTCCCCGTGACTCTGGGCAAAGCCCTGGGGCCCTAGCACTACAAGGCCTTGGGCTTGATCCACCTGCCAGCTGTGCAGCCACCTGATGGCCCTCTCCCCCATGCCCACTTCCCGGGGGTCACTCCCCAGGTGCTCCTGATGGCTTCCCTGGCCCCACTTCATCATCCCAGCTCTCAGCACCCCGATCCCACCCTGCCCCGCTCCACTCACTCCTGTTGTGGACCAAGGAGACCTTTGGACAGCGCAGGGCCCGGGACACTGACAGCTGCACCCTGTCAGCCTGGCGGCCCACAGCACCCTCCAGCAGGACCAGACTCTGGGAAGCAGAGGTGGATATGTGACCTTTCAGGCCCATGTGCTGAGCCCTGGGGTCGCGCAGCTACAGTACGGGTGGGAAGGGAAAGCAAAGGCTTCAGAGGGGCTGGAGGGGGGCTGGTTCTGCAGACCGTGGACGGCAAGCCCAACACCCCCCCACACACACACCTCCACCAGGCATTCAGCAAAGTATCCATGGAGCCCACTGCCTGGCAGCTGCTGCTATCCCAATAGCTGAAGACCCCACCACTGCCCGGCCCAGCCTGGGGACCTGGGTAGCAGCATTTATAAACATTCCCAACATCTAGGCTTCCTAAGCCAGCGAGAGGAACATGACTGCCACGCAGGTGCCTAGCACTCGGGCTCCAGGGACACAGGTGGTGCTGGGACCTTTCACCAACTGCAGAGAAGCAGAACTTGGGAAAGCACAGCTCCTTGCATGGCTGTGGCTGCCTGGCCCAGGAGGGAAGGGGTGTCGGGGAGGCAGCAGCCCCTCGTGAGCACTACATGGGCAAGCATCTTCCAACGGCTCCAAAAGGGAAGCCACATGTTCCCATTAAACAGGGGGGAAAAAACAAGGCTCAAAGAAGGCCAGATTACCAGGTAAAGGTCACCTGACCCAGGAAGGAGAAGAACCCCACCAAGCACCTGCTGTGTGCCCATTCAGTGCCCAGCACCCCACCGAGCACCTGTGAAACTTGCCCTTCTAAGGTGGCCACACAGTTTGGGGAGAGGACCAGGGCCCATCTCTACCTGCTCACTCCCCAGAGCCCCTTCCCAAGGTCAGTGCCAGCAACAGCCACCACTAATCCTAGCCCTATTCCGGGCCAGCAGCATGCACAGCCCCACCCTTCCGCAAGTGTGCAACTGCAAGTAGGAAAGGTGGTAAGCCGACCCAGGCCCCGAGCAGGGCAGACACAACCTCCTGGTGACAGGAAGGGCCTGTTGTGGGCAGAGCTGGGACGGAGCCTTGGTGAAGTCTGCCTGCAGCTCCAAGCATGACCACCAGAGGACAGGGCCATCCCAGCCAGTGCGGGCTCCAGCAGTGCAGTCCCGGCTACCCACCTGCAGCTCCCCGGAGAAGTCGGGCGAGTGAGGTCGGCTGTGGTTGCGGAGGGTCAGACAGCCATACAGGCCGGGTTCTGGGACTAGGTCTTACTGGCACAAGGTACCCATGGGCAGCCCAGCGTGGCCCAGGGCACCCTACAGAGAAACAGCCGTGGTCAGAGGTCGGCGGCTGCTTCTGCCCAGCTCCCTCAGGAGGGCGGCCGAAGCCCCTCTCCTACATGGCCACCAAAGCCATCACTAAGACAAGCACCTGGCGGTCACCTCGCCTCTCACCCGGGGGTCCCTGCTCCTTCGCTGTACCTCCCCGGTCTGCCACCAGAGGGTGCTCCAAGAGGGCCAGCGCCCCTCCCAGGGCACTCGCCCCATCACTGGCTGGGAGGCGGGCAGCCAAGGCGTGGAGCTGGTCTCCTCCTCTCCCCAGGAGCTCAGCTCCACACAGGGTGCTGCAGCCCCGCCTCGACGTGGATCTTGCTCTCCCCCAGCGGCTGAGGCTTCTGGAATAAGACGGCAGAGGGTAGGGTCAGAGCCTGTGCCAGCGGAGAGAAGATTCCAGGGCTGGTCTGAGCACTCAGCTCATGCTAGCCGAGGACTACTGCACCCATATTACAGATGAAAAAACCAAGCGTCCCCAAGAGGAAGTAAATCGTCCTGGCTCCGTAAGTAGAGCCATCCCTGGAACCCGGAACCTCCCCTCACAAGTCAGGTTCTGCCGCACCATGTACTGGTCCCAGGACAGGTGCAGCCCCTGGCTAAACACGGCTGGGGTCTGTGTCAGGGCCCCACAGGCTTGGAGGAAGCTCAAGCCCCAGGCATGCTGCAGCTGTCAAAGGAACAGGATCATGACCTTGCAGGCTGGGGTCAGGGAATGGAGCCGTGGGAGCCCCACTTTCAGCTCGGCTGTGCAGCCCACGCATGCCTACCTGGCCTGGGGAGGCAGCCAGGCAGCCAGCCCAGGTGGTGCTATGAGCCAAGGACCTGTTGGCCCAGGTGAGCTGCAGGGTCAGGGGCTGTCCTCCATCCCATGTGAGCTGCACCTGCGTGGGACAGAGGTCCTGGCCACAGGCAGGGAGGGGTCAGGGGGAGAAGTTAACTGCTCCCCTCTACTCAACCCTACCTTCTCTGCGGGAGCCCAGGGCTTTTTATGAAAACCGCCCCAGACTCCACACCCAGTCCTGGGGTTCCAGATGCCAGGTGGACAGGCGTGAGCCCCACCACAGGTGGTCCTCCACACCCCGCCCCCTGGCTGCCGTTGTCCATCACAGCAGCCACTGTCCCTCCCTTCACAGTGCTTCTCACCATATGTCTTTTTCCACTCATTCCTTTGGCCTGAATTTGGGGTTGGGCCTCCAGGTACACAGCTCATCTACCATTCTCCATTTCAGAGGCAAAATCTGAGACTCAGTGGCCGGGGCCACCTGTGCCCTCCCCCTGCTAAATGCTGCCTGCCGCCAGCCACACAACCGTGGATGGTAACCCCGCTGACAAGCTTACAACTCACCTCCGTCGTTATAGCGGGAGCCTCCCGGGTTCGAGTACGTGTCTCTCAAAGACCACCCAGCACACAGCAGGCACTTAACAAGGCCCTGGAGCCCCTGTGGTTCCAAGGTCCTGGGGCCTGCTCCCCTTACCCCCACACTCCCCTGCCGGCTCCACTTGCTGCCCCTGCCTTCAGCCAGCGCCGTGAGCTGCACTCGCTGCCAGGAGAGGTTGCAGGGGTGAGCCAGGTCCAGGCGGCCGGCCAGCTGGCCTTGCCCAAGGTACAGAGAGAAGGAGAGCAGCACCTGAGAGGGGATGGGCCAGGTGGTCACCTTGCCCCGATGCGCTGACCGTCCCCCCGCCTATCCCACAACTACACACAGCCTTCAACAAGGTCAAGGGTGTGAGGATAGCTGGCCCCAAGCACCAAACCCCAGCCTGGGGGGATGCCAGCCCATTTTTCACAGAGGAGAGAACCAAGGCCTGGAAGGCAGGTGATGCCCAGGCTGCCATGAGATAGACGGGATTGGAAGCGGTAGGTGTGGCGGTTGAGGCAGAGTGTGCATGGCAGTGACTCAGCCCTCCTCCCACACCTGAGTCGTCCCCCACAGCCCCGCCCCACGATCTCCTGGTGCCAGGGCCAGCAGTAGGGCCCAACACGGAGAAGCTCTACCCACAACTGTTGCCACCACCCTGGGGCTAGGCACCAGGTTCCCACTTCATGTCTGGCCCTGGATAAGGCTCTCCTGGCAGACCAGGACCCCAAGGGTCGCCCCTCAAGCTGTAGAGTACAGCCCAGCCCTACCCAGGGCCTCTATCCACTTACCTGGTCCCTGCCATCCCAGCTGACAGCCAGGCAGTCCCGGCGGCTGGCACCCAAGCGCTCCAAGGAGAGGCCAAGGCTGCACTGCCAGGGCAGGGGGAGCAGCAGCTGGTGGGCGAGCTCCACTGGGCAGGGGACACACGGGGAAGGGGGAACAGGGGTGTGAGCCAAGGCTGACACCCACACCAGAGAGCCACCCTCTGACCTGCCAGCTCCTGGATCTGTAGCAGTGTGGGCCTGCAGGTGGCTCTGCTGGCCCAGGGCAGCGATGGACACATGCCCCTACACGTGCGCATGAACACACAGGCATCTGGGCCTACGGAGGCCCCACCCATCTCCTCCTCCTCCAGGCGTACATGTGGCAGACAAGGCCCTGGGAAGGAAGCCATGCTGGCGTCTGCACTCCTTCCCCATGCCCAGTGGGGCAGAAGGTTGGGCTCGGCTCCAAGCCACGAGGCTCCCCACAGTGACAGCCTGGCGGGGGAAGAGGGAGAGCCTACACAGGCCCCCATTAGAGCCCCTGCAGGGACACCCCTTTGCAGAAAGCCCTTGGAGCTCATACTTCCTGGCAGAGGCTGCTGCAGGAAGCCACATCAGGGTCACTGCCCAGCCTACCAGGGACCACCAGGTCCTGTCACCTTAGCGCACCCAGGACAAACCCCGTCCTCTCATACTATCTCCCTCCTCCTGGCTCCCAGGACTGTAGCCTTTGCAGGCCCTGCACCTGCTCTTCCTCCTGCTTGCACAGATCCTACCCTGCTCCCATGCTCCCTGCCCACTCCCCCTAGGGCACAGCCTGGGGCCCACTTGTTTCCTGTTGGATCCCACAGGCCAGAGCTCACAAATCAAGGAGGTGCCCAGCGGCGGCATGCCAAGTGTGTCGGTGATGACCCTCTCAGCTGCCGCCTCCACACCCTGCAGGCTGAGGTTTCCAGGGGGCTTGAGGAAGAGTCCTGAGAGGCTCCCACTGAGGGCCACCTCCCGGCCATCCCACAGCAGCGTCTGGCGCAGCTCACGGGCGCCTCGAGTGCGCCTGTATGCAGTCTGCAGCACCAGTTCCCCTGGCAGCACCCAGAGCTGGAAAAGAAAAGCCTGGATGGTGTCCCTGAGAACCCAGCGCACACCACCATGTGGGAAAGAAGGTTCCAGAAGGGTGGCAGTTCCTTGGGTGGCACCACGTATCCGGACAACTGCAGAAAATGGGCAGGGGAAGGTGTGAGCCACGGGAGGGAGGCCCTGCACAGAGCATGGCCAGTGCTCAGCACCTTGCCTGTGCCGTGCAGCCCCGACCAAGTTCCCACCCTCCTTGTGCCTCAACATCTTCACCTCTGAAGTGGGGGAGGGGTCACAGAAACAGCAGAGGGCACAGGCTGCAGAATGGACATGCTGCAGGGGCTGCCAAAGCCAGACTGGCGGGAGTGTGCCGCTCCCTGGCCAACTGCCAGCTCAGAGCTGCGTGCAGACAGCCAAGCCTGGTTTCTGCATCTCAGGGGCTCTGGGCTGGTGGCAGACACAGAAGGGCGAGGGGGCGAGTGTGGTCAAGAAAGGGGCAAAGGGCAGAGGAACGCACAGAGGAAATCAAGGCGAACGCCCGGAAGGTCTGAGGCCCACAGAGGGCACAGGGCCTGGTGGGGGCCACAGCAGCCAAGGGGCGGGCCTTGAGGGTGCTGCAGCACATGCTGGATGTGACATTTGCCCTTGAGCAGCTCTCAGACCCTCACCCCTGCATCCTCCTGGCCAGGCACACTCTGGTAGCTTCCTGCACTGCCACCTGGAGGCTCCCCACGCAGCAGCCAGTGGTTCTGCTTCCCCCCCACCACCACCCCAGGAACCCCCAGCACCAGACAGCGTCACTTCCTCCTCCCAGCTGGCTGCTTGACTGCTGAGTCCATTCCTGCCCAGGACCTCTGCACACACTGCTGTGAGCCCACTGCTCCCCAAGAGGCTCATGCTGACAAGTGCTGGTCCTTCAGGAGTTGCCCAGGCTCACCCCACTGCCTGCTCTGCCTCGGGAGTGAGTGAGTGAGTGAGTGAGTGAGTGTGTGTGTTGACAACAAGGACCCATCAGCCCTAATTTGCGCACCAAAGCAAGGAAGGAAGCAGAGAGCAGGAAGAGGCTGCCACAGCTCCTGCCATCCCATCTACACTTCTGCCAGCCCCTGCCCCAGAGGTCCCCCCCGTCCTGACCCCAGCTGGCCACACACCTGGGGGAAGGTGTGCTCCAGGCTGATGGTGCTGGCAACACTGGCCCTCGCAGCCTCCAGCCTGATGCTGATGTTGAGGCGGTACTCCTCCACGCTGACACCCAGGACACCCTCAGTCATGCCTTCGGGGGCTCGCAGCTGGGACAGGAGACAGCACAGCGCGGGGAATGGGGGCTGCTTGGCAGGTGCACTCAGGTACCCACTCTGCTGAGCAGCCCCAATCTCACGCCAGGCAAGCACCTGACAGGTGTTTTGTGGCGTGGGTGTTTCCAAACGGAGAGTTCGGCATTGAAAGGACAATGTGGGGTTTCAGGGAAAGTCGCAAATGTTGTAATGGAGGCGAAAACGAGGAGGGGAGGACGGTGAGCTGGCCGGTGAAGCACACACAGGAGTGGGGACGCTGGTGTGGTGCATTTGCGGGTTCCTTCTGTCCGCACCTTTCTCACCTCTGGAGTCTCACCCCTTTCTTAGTGAGATACAAGTATGCTCAGGTCCCTGGACCCTCACTGGACAGGGCCAGCAGCAGCTTGGGGTGACACGCATATGATGGGTGTAGCCATGTAACAAGGCGGCTTTTTGGGGAGCATCAAGTTGCAACCAAACTGACTCCTGATCCAAAATGTTTTCTCTCCCTCTCCGTCTTTCAAATAAAGATGAAAACATTTTAAAACATTTTTAAAAAGAGTGTGGGTGATGTTGCCAACAGACCCCAGACAAACAGGAGTGAAGTGGCAGGATCTCCCCAACAGGGGGCGTGCTCTGCACTTCAGAACCTTCCTGTTGGAGGAGGGTGTGGGGAGGGGGGTGTGGGAAGGGAGAGCACCAAGGGGCCCAGTGAGCAACTGGGAAACTGCAGCAAAGTTGGGGGAGCATCAAGATGGAGTGTGCACGCCAGAGGGGACAGACTAGGGTGGCATCAATCAGGGTGCTCTGGTCCAGGACAAGGAGGCACTTATGAATATACCCAGGGTATGTTTGGAGAAGCTGGGGTTCCCAAGGGTGGCTGGCAGACGTGCAGGTGTTAGCATGGGCTGGCAGGCCCGGGCTGCACAACCCCCTGCTGCCTTGGGCAGGACATTTGGAAGTGGTTAGGAGCATGGTCCATGGCGGAGGCTGTGCTGCGACAGTGGCCCAGGAAGGCAGGGAGATGGTGCCAGCCTGAGAGTAGCAACTCTTTGCTGGGAGGAGAGAGAAAGCAAGAGAGCGAGGCTGCAGCTGACATGATGTACCCAGCCCAATGCCCAGTACCCATCAATAGCTGCCCATGGGACCCGAGGGCCTGAGCCTGCAGCTAGTACCCAGCCCAGCACTCAGCACCCATCCATGGTCCCACAGCAGACCTAGGGCCCAAGCCCACAGCTAGCATCCAGCACCCAGCACCCATCCATGGCTCCATAGAGGACCCGCCAGGGCACAGGTCAGGGCTGGGCATTCCTGACCACTCCCTGTGAACCTTGGTTTCTCTGTTTCCTTAAAGGATCAAGAGTGGTCCTGGGCAGCCCTTCAGCACAGCCCCTGGGGGAGCCCCAGTAGCATCTACACAGCGGGATCCCAACCACCCCCTGATGTGTCCCCTCTCCTGAACCCTGGATCCTTGGGTACCTTACCACCCTGCTGAGCATGCCCACTGGACTTTTCTGACTCTTGGCAGCTCAACTCGCCAACTCAGTGGTGTGTCAAAGTGGCCGAGCCTCCCAGAAGCCTCACTTGGGCTTCAAATCTCCCCCCGGGCCAGCGGCCTGCCAACTAGCCACAGAAGCACGAGCTCCCAGCTCTGTGCCATCCCCCAGCAGGCCCCTGAACTGAGGGCTGTGACGGACAGCTGTGATGGAGGGCTTGGGACAACTGGAGCCCACGGACTCTCCATGCTTGAGCCCGTTCTGGAGCCCGTTCTGGAGCCCGTTCTTCCCACAGCCTCGTGGCCCTGCAACAGTTGCTATACCAGAGTGTCCCCCAACTCCACCACTTCCCCTACCTGCCCCCCACCCCACAGCACCACCATGCACAGGCAGGGTCACTTTATCCAGCCCCTCCCTCTCCCTCCCAGCAGTACCTCAGAGCCCTCCTCACCTGTCCACCTGCTTCTGGCCCCAGGCCTCAAGGACCAAGCAGGCCTGACCATCGCAGGTCAGCCGCAGAGAGGCACTCACCTCCTGAGGGATCCAGAGGCCCTGCAGCAGCAGCTGAGGAGTGAGCAGGGGAAGAGGCCCTCAGGGACCAGGCAGGGTCACCACAAGGCCTCACAGCCCCGGCCTGGGCACTGCAAGTGCCAAGGAGTCCAGCAGATCTTTCTTCACCCTCCCCACCCTCCACCCCTGGACAGCAAGGATGCACAGGCAGGACCAAACAAGGCATTCCTTCTAGAAAAGGGCTTAGGTGGGAGAGAGGATCACCCACCCAGCCAGCCAGCATCAGCACCTGCCCCGGGGCCTCTGTTCCAGGAAGATCTCACCTGGTTCGTGTGGGGCAGGCCCAGTCTCTGGAGAGCGGGCACCACGTGGCTGACATTTGCTCGTAGCTCCAGTGCGCCCTCCTGTGGCCAAACCATCATGACCACCACGTCCATGATGACCTCATCATTGCTACCACAGAGGGCCATGGTCGGCCAGGGTCGGCCAGTGGCTTCTGCTCCAGTTAGGTGTGAACTTCCGCTACCCTTGGCAATCCCCCTGCCAGCTGCTAACCCACAGAAAATGAGGCCATCTGTTCCCACCGAAGCCCAGCCTGATGCGCCATGGCCAACACCGAATGTAATCCAGCACCTCTCCTGCGGTCCACACGATGAAAACCACCCACCGGTCAGCCGGCACCAACATGTGCCAACATCTCGAGTAACTTCCAGATCCACCTTGCCAGGTGGGCGATGCCAGATGCCAAGGCTCACACAGCCCGTGAGTCTACTTATCTCACCTTGCTGAACTGCTGGTACCACTGCAATGGCCAACAGAACCATCAGACGGCCCACAAATGGCAGGAGGGAAATTCTGGGTGTGACCAACTGGTCTACTGGGACTGTGCTTGGGCTGCACGGTAAGCAACTACACAACTTGTCAACCCTTAAAGAACTGAGGGAGTTTTCCCTGTAAGTAATAGCATCTTGGGGCTGGCAGTGACTCAACAGGCTAATCTTCCACTGGCCAGGATTGGCATCCCATATGGGCACCAGTTTGTATGCTAGCTGCTTCACTTCTGATCCAGCTCTCTGCTTGTGGCCTGGGAAAGCAGTGCAGCATGGCCCAAAGCCTTGGGTCCTGCACCTACTGAGAGACATGAAAGATTCCTGACTTGGGATCGGCTCAGCTGCAGGCCACTGTGGCCATTTAGGAAGTGAACTAACTAGTGGGTGTACCCATGTGGGAGACCCAGATGGGGCTCCTGGCTCCTGGCTCTGGCTCGGCCCCGACTGGCCACTCCCTGCAGTTCTTTAAGGAGTGAACCAGGGAATGGAACATCTTTCTCTTCCGTCTCTGACTTTCTCTGTTGCTCTTTCAAATAAATATTCTTTTTAAAAAAAATTTAAGAAATAGTTCAAGACAGATCTTACACTGTATGTAAGAGCAAAATATAAAGCTTCCAGAAAAAATACTTTTAAGAATCTCAATTGGCAAAGCTCCTCAGGATACGAGAATCAACAACCACAAAGAAATAAATAAAACAGAACAGAGAACCAGTTCTCATCAGAAGTAAAACACCTGCCAAACATAACTTACTGATGAATACAAAAATAAAAGGCAAGCCACAAAGCAGGTGTGTGTCGCAAGACGTGCCCCCAGAATATTCTACAGTTCAGGAAGTGGCTCAGAAGGCTGACCTGACACTCATCAAGAAACACAAATGGAGTGGCTGTCATCATCGCTGTGCACACTGATGCCACCAGTGGGGTACCACGAGGTCCACACTGCAATCTAATGACATTCAACAGGCACAGAGAACAAGAGACAGAGACAGAAGAAAGAGGGCATGCCCCTTCCACTTTTGAGGTTCAGGCTTCACAAGGCCTAAACAGTCAGGGCTGGGCCAGGCTGAGGCCGGGAACAGGAATGTCAATCCAGGTCTCAGGGCAAGCACTGTGGCACAGCACGTCAAACTGCTGCCTGGGACACCGGCATCCCACATGACGCCAGTTGGAATCCCGGGGGCTCCATTTCTGAACCAGCTGTCTGTTGGTGCACCTGGGAAAGCATCAGAGAATGGCCCAAGTCCTTGGGTGCATCCACCCATAGGGGAGACCTGGAAGAAGCTCCTGGCTTCAGCTGGCCCATGACAGCCGTCCAAATGAAAGAGTGAGTTCTCTAACTCTACCTTTCAAATAAAAAATAGCCCTCAAAAGAGGGCACCAGTGGGAAGGGGTCCGGTCTTGGGGAGAGTTCCTGCCTACCCTGCTACCAGCTTGTCGCAGGGCCTCAGAAGGCCCTGGGGAGCTTCTGGAACAGTCTGCCACCGGACAGAGCTAGCTTTTCATGGGACAAGGGACCTATTTATTCCCAAGGGGCAGCACCCAAGCCCAGTGCCCCATGGTGAAAAGCAAGGGGCACAACCCATGTAGGACATGACCCTGAGCAACTGCTCCACTGAGCTTGATGACAGATGAGGTGCCTACATAAACATGACACATGGCACCTACCCAATAGTACCAGGTGGCAACATCTCACAGGATCACCCCCACAGCCAGCAATGCCATGTCATAGGACCACCATCACAGTGAGCTACAGGGTCTCACAGACACACCATCACAGCCAGCAACACCATCACACGGGAACACTAAACAATGAACAGGGTCTTACAGGACTACCACCAAAATGAGGGACAGCATATCACAAGACTGTCACAGCAGCAAACTACACTGTCTCACAGGACCAGTGCCACAGTCAGCAGCAGCGTCTACAGAACCACTGTCACAGCAGGCCATGCCTTCTCACGGGACCACCATCAGAGCAAGCGACACCTTCTAACAGGACCACCACCACACGTGACCAGATCCATAGGGCCACCATCACAAGTGACCCCTTCTCACAGGACACCCACTACAGCAGGTGACAACCTCTCCCAGAGCCACCATCCCGTCGAGCAAGTCTATCTCACTGTAACAGCCAGGAACACCATCTAAAGGACAGCGGACAGCGAGGGACCTCCA